AGTATCAGTTTAACTTTATGATTTTTACTGGTCGCATTTAGTTGTTTTGGATTGTTCATGTTTTTTCAGTCACGGTTTTTTAGTTTTGAAGATTTTAATTAGGTTTTGAACTTATTTGATCAAGTGTTTGGAGAAGACGATTTTTCGTTGTGCTGCTTTTGATTTTCATTGAAGTTCTTTTTGTTTTTTTTTTGCAGTATAGTTATCATATATATTAGTTTATGTAACATCAGTTCATAAAATCATGCAAAATCAGTTGGCATAAGCTTTTTTTTTGGGGGGGGGGGTATTGTAGCATAAGTGTGCATCATTAATTTATATAAACATTAATTCTTAACGTAATACGCGTGCAACATAAGTGTGCAACATCACTTTTATAAAAGCTTTAATTTTTAACGTAATACTTGTACAACATCAACTCATATTAATCAAGTGCAACATCAGTTTTATTTAATCAACATAATACTTGTACAGTTTTAGTTTATATAAATATTTATTTAAAAGACTACGGATTAGAAAATTGTGTAACATCAGTTTTATTTAATCAACATAATATTTGTGTAGCATCAGTTTATATAAATATTTATTTTAAAGGACTATGAATTATAAAATGGTGTAGAATCAGGTTATACGTTTTGTATGCAACATCAGTTTGTTGTATTTTGCAATTTTTGGTTCCCAAATTTATGAAGAATCAATTTTTAGCAATTGAGTTCATGTTTGTATGGATAGGAGACTATTTTTTAATGTAATGTTTGTATAGCATCAATTTTAAATAATCAATGTAATACTTGTGCAACATCAGTGTGCAACATCATTTTATATACACATTATTTTTCAAAGTAATATTTTGTGCAACATCAAACTCATTCTTTTGTTTTTCATTGAAGTTCCTTTTTTTTTTTGCAATATAGTTATCACATATATTTGTTTATGCAGCATCAATTCATATAATCGTGCAAAATCACTTGGGCATAAGTTTTTTTTTAGGGGGGACCCCCCAATAAACATTTAATATTTTTCAAAGTACTACGTGTGTAGCATCAGTTTTAATTTTCAACTTAATATTTGTGCAGTATCAACTCATAGAATCTTAATCAGTTGGCATAAGTTTTGTGTGGGGGGCATTGTTGACCGATGAATCTATTGGTTCAAAAGCGTGGGATGGGCAAAATCTCACATATGATTAATTGATTTCTTACTTATATTACTCTATTTTTATTAGTATGGTCAATAGTAATTGATGAATCAAATATTTTCAATTAAATTTATCCTTTCAATTGGTTGATATTTTGAACCTCGCCTTATTTTTCAATGTCCATGAATGATAAATAATAGCATAGATCGAACTTAATACTTCAGATGCAATGTCACTTTTTCAACGTAATACATGTGCAGCATAAGTGTGTAGCATCAATTTTATATAAACATTAATTTTCAACATAATACTTGTGTAGCATTAGTTAAGCAACATAATACTTGTGCAACATCAGTTTTATATACATGTTTTTATAACAAGTAGTTATTGAGGAGAAACTTGCCGTTCCCAATTTTGCAAGTTTTATATCATGAAGAAAATGAATAAACAGATTGAAAAAGTTATGTAACATTTGAAATGGATAGATTAAAAAAGAAATGTAACATTCGAAAAACATAAACATATACACTTTACTTTACTTTTTTTTTTTTGGTAAAAATGAGTTATAACAATGTAATTTTAAATATCAAAATTCATAACAATTGAAATGTTAGAAGTCCAGATTTTTTTTTTATTGGTTCAAGATGGTTTTTTTTGTCCTCTACTTCAGCTGCTTGTTTTTGCTCCTCAAACTTCATGCTCTAGCTCAATCTATGATGTATTATTTGAGAAGCAACATCACGGCGCACATAGTTGACTTCTCGCTTGGTGAATGACTTTTTCATCTTTTCGCCTTTTGCTATTTGTTTGATGTAGTACATCACAAATACACTACAATCATCTCTATAAAATAAGTTTGCATAATTAGCATGCAACATCAACTAAAGCAGACTAAGTATACAACTTGAGTTATGGAAGAACATAACTTTAGTATGCAGCATTAGTTATAGTAGACTCATTTAGTATGCATAATTATTATTTTCTATGAAATCTAATGATTGGTATAGAATCATTTTATCATTGAACATTTATCATTGAGCATCAGTTATACCAGAATTATTATGCAGCATCAGTTATACCAGACTTAATAATGTGCAACATCAGTTATACCAAACTTAGTATGCAACATCATTTTACTATCTTATTCATTGCAAAAATTAGTTGAACCTTAAATATGTAACAAAAAATAGTAATTCAATTAAAACATTCAAAATACACAATTATACTTACGATCTAAGCTGAATAGGACATTGTTTATCTTCATCCATTTCAAAAGTTGCATTTGTAGGGCTCCTTCGGATGTAGTCAGTTGTTAAACTTTTCCTTTCATTCAATGGCAAATGGAATAATCTGTCTTTGTTGTTGTACCATTCTTTGACCATTTTGACCTATATACAAATTAAGCGTATGTTTGAAAAATATATTAGGAAATCACTGAAAATATAAGTGATAATGAATTTACACTTACTACTTTATATGCATTGTCATTGTGGATGTTTGTTTCACCTTCTTGGAGGTTTTTTCTATTAGAGTTGTAAACTTTGAAATACCTTTCTTCTGTGTCGAACACAAGCAATGTGTAGTGCTCGTGATTTAGAAGAGGTATAAAGATTTTTCGCGCAACTCCCATTTGCTCGTTTAATTGTTCCCCCAAACTGTGCTTTAATTCTTTCATTTTGGTTTCATTGTTTTCATAGGTGTTGAAGTTCATTTGTTTATCCAGAACATAATTAGTATATGGACAATCAGTATGCAACATCAGTATGAATCATCTGTGTGGACATATGTATAAAACATCAGTATGGATTAAAAACATCTTAAATTAAAAATCCAAATTCTTCAAAACCCTAGCCAAGTTTCTATCCCCCAAAGTCGTATAGAAGAAGAGAAAAGGTTGGGGCCAGCCAAAGACCTTATTTATACTACATAAGTTATCCGATCATTCCTAATAAAAGTCTTAGAATCTGACTAGGAAACCAAATAAAAACAAAATATACTAGAAAACAAAATCCCAATTAAATTAGGAGAATTTGCAATGAATATGTCCCGCCACATTTTAGCCCTAAATATCCTCCAAATCCGGCCCATAATAGCTTGTTTTAAAGATTGGAACAATCTAGACTTGGGATTTTAAACTAGACCCGACCCACCCGTTAAAATAAAATAAAACAAAAATTCATACAAGTCAATCCAATATTATTTTGTCTCAATTAGATAAGCTATTTCAAATGTTCGATTAACTACTAGTAAGTTTCAGGCTATTGTTGGAGTCTCTTTATTTTTCATGAATGGTGTGAAAAGCCATCCACTGCGAGAAAAGGACAACTAGAACAAGTAGATAAAAATATTGCCCTACCGAAACGGAATAGGAAATTTTTTTAGTAGTTAATGGACGCTGGCTAAAACAAAGGGAATGGTGGCTAGAACTCGATCCCAAGCCGCACACAAATAGCCTCTCTGCGGTTGATGTTATATAATCTACTGGCTTAACATATGCGTTTATAGCTGCCGCTAGCATTACAATTCGATACCTACAACCTATTGTAAATTAAGGTTAGAACTTACAGGTTGCATTTGCATTGCATGTTGGATAATTATTATTGCTTTACATGTTATGTTTGGCCGGATTTAGGCTCTACATTGCAAAAATCAGACTTGGCTCCCCTTTAAAGGACTTTCATGTGCAGGTTGATACAGGTAGTGACATTTTATGGGTGAATTGTGCAGAGAGCAGAATTTTCCTACTAAAAGTAATCTTGGTGTATGTTTTCGTTGCCTTCTTTTTTCGCCCTAGCTACTTGATGATACAGTTTGAGCTCACAATGTACGATTCGAAGGGCTCTTCAACTTCAAGCAAGGTTGCATGTGATCAAGAGTTTTGTACTTCCATATTCAAAGGTAAAACTTCCTGATTGCAATGCAGATATGCTTTGCAATTATAGTATCTCGTACTGAGATGGAAGCATAACTGCTAGTTACTATGTCAAGGACAATATCCAACTTGATAAAGTCACTGGAAATCATCAAACTACCTCAACAAATGGAACCGTAGTATTTGGGTGAGTTTTGCACAATTGTCATACTAAAACTAGCATAATATGAGGAACAAAACTAGATTACATTTTGAGTTGGTTTACTTTGAGTTTGCATACATGGTTGTTGCTATATGTTCTTGTTATGTGTATTAAGCTGCATCTCTTATGGAACAGGTGTGGAGCTAAACAATCTGGGAATCTTGGTAAATCTCCCACAGCAATTGATGGGATACTTGGTTTTGGACAAGCAAATTCATCCGTGATCTCGCAGTTATCTTATCCGAAAAGGTGAAAAAGGAATTCGTGTACTACTTGGATAACGTGAAGGGTGGTGGAATCTGGGCCATTAGTGAAGTGGTGGAACCAAAAGTGAAAAACACAACTCTGCTAATACCAAATTTGTATGTCACACAATCTTGGAATCCTTGGTAACACTTTTAACTTGATTGAAAAATAAGCTGTAAAATGTTTTTTTTTTTTTTTTGGTAATGGGCGGAGAAAATGTATGTACTCAATAAGTTAAGGTCTCTATTGCTCAAACATCTGCATACCTTGTCCTCTTTATTATGTAAGAGAAAACATAGACTTAAAGATTAATACACTAGCCAATAACACAAGGATCAATCAACTAAATCACAATCCTTATACCATGTATGCATTATATGTAACTGTTGAAGCATTCACAACGACACATACCTGCAGACATGTTCATGGATGAAGAAGCCATGAAAACCTGCACACAACCTTCTCCCCTCTGCAAAACTCAATGCTCTCACAAAGCACGCTCTTATTGTAGGCAGAAAACATATACCCACACACATAATACGTACTGTGGAAATATTTGACACTTACCAAGTATATATTATAGAAATATGAATTGTAATAAAATAACCAACAACCTGCCATAAGATCAAGGGAAGCATTGCAGCATACATCTAAAGAAAATTACGCTAGACTCCAGGAAATCCTCAGCTTCAGCAGACTCATATGCAATCATTACTAAACAATGGATGAGTTGTATGATTTGTGCGATACGGGCATGTGGTAAGTCACTTCGTCTACGTCTAGCCTGGAATCAGTGTTCAACTCAGCTATCATATTTGGCATAGGGCAGTCAAGAAAACTGTGGCCATAGTCATTACAATTAACACAGCAAATGGCACGAGCATATGACATATTGTGCTCACACATATTATCCTCACGAATACAGCGCCTACAAGCTAGTTCATAGCCCTCACCAACAATAGTCACGTCAGGCGGGATCCTAGACGAATAGGGGCACATACTTTCGCCACAGCACTTCTGAAGGCAAACTTAACACTTGGAAGTACGACGACGTTTCTTCTTCTTCTTTAAAGTAGGCGGGGCATTCTCAAGTTGTAGTTGAGTCAGAGTCATCCAAAGCCTCTTCTTCTTTCTTCTCACCTGAATCATCTATTTTGTTTGCAGAAATGTTCACAAATTAATAAACTATACAAGATATCATTTTAATTACTTTGTATTCTCAATCTCATTCAAACTAATCACATACTTAGCCAAAGTAAGGGAGCACCATAGCTTTCTTAATTTCAAATTAAAAAAACTTGCACACGAGATACTTAATTGTGAAACTAATTAGGTATAGCAAGTTCGTTTCTTAATCAAAACAAATAAAATTAGGGATATGAAACTAATTAAAGGGTAATTCTCATATATGCAGAAAGGAAAAACAACAATTTTTGTTCAGTATATTTCCTCAAACTCTGAACATGTACATATGGTTATGGAGACTAGTTAAAAGGGTAATTCTAGCAAATTTTGTTGAGAGTTCTACAAAGGTAACCATGGTCAAATACTCAGATATTGCAAAAAACAAAAACATAATATTAATATTTAGAAACAAATAATCAGATATGAAAATTAAAAATAATCTCCCTCATCACAAAGAAACCCTAAAAACAAAAACCAAAAGCATCATACCAACATCTCACCTAGGTGCTTCGGTGGTTGGCCTGGACCGGATCCTAATTCCGTTTCCGGGAGGCGCTTGGCCTTAGATCCGGGTCGGCGATTCCTGTCTTTGGATAGGCGGTACATGGCTTTGTCTCTTTCTTGGAGAAATCTGGAATAGTCGGTATGCACCAACTTTTTCATGTGACTTGACCATACCTGAACCTGAAGTTGGAGAAATTTCCACTATACCTCCAGAACAACATACACGGTAGCAACGTGGGCTAACGATGCAATGGGCTATTTAGATGAGGCTACTAAAAATTGTGAAGAACCTAAAGCCATAATTTCTGCCGTTAATGAATATGCAGCCAATGGAAATTGCGAGCAAGGTTTTCAAAGTTACATTTGGAGTCTGGAATATGAGGTAATTAAATTGTATTATTTTAATGTTTTAGAATATGACACATTAATTCTTTTCAGAGAATAGCTCATGATTGTCTTTGATGATATATGTTTAACAGACACTCTCGAAGCATATTGTGTCTATGTACAAATACAACATAACCCTGAATGTAAATTACTCAGTCGGCCGAATTGTCCCTGTTATTCAACACGTTTACATGGATATGTGCTCGGGATATATGCTCTAGGAAGTGTATCGAAACCAGTAATTGAGTATTTGGTTGGTGCATTTGGAATAGATGCTAAGAGGATTATCTCAGATAAAATTGTTGGTTATAAAATTGAGGATTTTGAGTTAACGACTAGTGTGGATAAGGTAAAAAAAGGAGTTTGTGTGGGTTTGAAAGCCTCTACTTTATACGATAAGTTTACTGGAACTTCATTCAAAGGTCAGTTTGCACTAATAAAGCGGATGGAAACCATTCAATTGGAGGTTGTAGTTTTCTTAGACTTCACGTTTTACGCCGACGAGGATGAAAACCGATCAGTTTTTCTAGTATATCTGAAGATCCTCGTGCGGAAAGATCACGGCCACCACGTTGTCAAAACATTGTAAGTTATACTTTTTTCGTCTTTTTTATTTAATGAGGCTTATGTTAGCATTTTTTTTTTCCAGACTTTGTGACCTAAACTTTGTTTAATTTGTTGTTGGCACTGCAGGCTTGGAGATCTAAAAGCAAAAAGAAATGCAAATACATATACTCATCCCTTAATCTGGCTCCAAGGAGATTACTGTTTACACAAAGTCAAACTTTATTGGAAATAGTTACTTGACGAATTACTGCAACTGTAGGTGCTAAAATAGGTTAGTGAAATCCCAGAGTTTGCCACTGGTAATGGAATGAGATCATTCCTTTACCAAGAAAAGCATAAAGTTTTTGTCGTTAGGTCTCAAAACAGGCTATGGAGAATATGATGGAGGAGGAAGTGTTGCAGGTTAGGGGGTTCAGGGGTGACCAGCATATGCCCCTAAATTTTTAACATCGATTCAAAACGAGGGACATCAATGTCAAAAAATCAGGGGTATATGCTGGTCAGCCCTGAACCCCCTAACCTGCAACATCTCCTCCTCTATCATATTCTCCACAACCTGTTTTGAAGACCTGACCACAAAAACTTTATGCTCTTCTTGGTAAAGGAAGGATCTCATTTTGTTACTAGTGGCAAACTCTAGGATTTCACTGACCTCTTTTAGCACCTGCAGTTGCAACAATTCATTGAGTAACTGTTTCCGATAACGTTTGACTTTGTGTAAACAGTAGTCTCCTCGGAGCCAGGTTAAAGGATGAACATATGTATTTGCATTTCTTTTTTGGTTTTAGATTTCCAAGCCTGCATTGCCGACAACAAATTAAACAAAGTTTAGGTCATAAAGCCTAGAAAAAGAATATCCTAACATAAACCTCATTAAATAAAAACGATAGGAAAAAAAAGTAAAACTTACAATGTTTTGACGACGTGGTGGCCGTGATCTTTCCGCACGAGGATCTTCAGATATACTAGAAAAACTGATAGGTCGTCATCCTCGTCGGCATAAAACTTTAAGCAAAGTCTAAGAAAAATACACCCTCCAATTGAATGGTTTCCATCTGCTTTATTAGTGCAAACTAACCTCCGAATGGAGTTCCAATAAACTTATCGTATAAAGCAGAGACTTTCAAACCCAACCAAACTCCTTTTTTTACCTCATTCATACTAGTCGTTAACTCCAAATTCTCAATTTTATAACCAACAATTTTGTCTGAGATAATCCTCTTAGCATCTATTCCAAATGCACCAACCAAATACTCAATTACTGGTTTCGATCTGCTTCCTAGAGCATATATCCTGAGCACATATGCATGTAAATGTGTTGGAGAACAGGGACAATTTTGCCGACTAAGTAATTTACATTCGGGGTTATGTTGTATTTCTATGTAGGCACAATATGCTTCGAGTGTTTATTAAACATACATCATTAAAGAAAATCATGAGCCATTCTCTAAAACGAATTAATGTGCCATATTCTAAAACATTAAAATAATACAATTTACTTACCTCATATTCCAGACTGCAAATGAAACTTTGAAAACCTTGCTCGCAATGTCCATTGGCTGCATATTCACTAGCGGCGGAAATTATGACTTTAGGTTATTCACAATTTTTAGCTGCCTCATCTAAATGACCCAAATAGCCCATTGCATCGTCTTCATCGTCAACCCACGTTGCTACCATGTATGTTGTTCTTCTTGGAGGTATAGTGGAAATTTCTCTAACCTTAGGTTCAGGTATTTCTACAAGTTTATCAACTTCAGGTAGAACTGCACAGATAAAACAGTAGAATTAATGCATTCATGTTCCGGATATAGTACATACAGTAAATTTTTTACTTCTATCCTCATAGCTAGTCAATCTCTAGTCAGCACAGCCGACTAACACATCTTTCAAAACGATTAATGCAATTATGGCTCTGGATCCTTTTTTAGTTTCTGTTTTATTGTCTGTACTTGTACTGGTTCGGTATGGGATACCAAACCGAAATCTTTGTTCTGATTACCAAACTGATGTTTTCGGGAATCTCAATTTCAAGACCAATCCCAAACCAAATTTTCAGGAATCCCGAAATAGTTTAGGGATTTCGGGACAAATTGGGAATCCCGAAATATTTTTGGACTTTTGGGCTATAACTTGACATATTGGGCTTTTGGGCTAAAGTTTAGCCTTTTATATTAAAATTTAGGGAACTTTAACGAAAAGCACCCGGTACTGTTCACTTTAACGAAAAACCACATTTTTACACTAAAAAGTCAATCCTGGTACTATTCACTTTACCCTTTATTTTGTCCTTATCATTAAAACTCAAAGTTTTCAAACCCTTTTCATTAGTTTTCCTTAAAATTTAGACTTATAGCCCAACCCAATCTGTGCAATCAATCTGTGCATAACTTCATACTATTGGGTTTTTAGCCTTTAACTTCATACTTACCATTGATACCAATGCAATCATAGAAGGAAACGAAAGATTATGAATTTCGTGGAGAAGAATGAAAACCACAGAAGCAAGAATATAAGCTCAAATCAATTTTTGATAACTGTTTATATATAAGGTAACAGATGAATTTCAACAATCAAATTGCCTACCACATGCTTGCAAAAATTAATTCTATACAAAACCATTCAACCATTAATTATTTGACTTGGTCTCTATGAGAAGTAGTGACCCATGGAATTAAATCCACTAATACACATGCAAATGGCCAGGGCCATCCCCACACACATATCTGATACGAGTTTATTATTATTGATATAAACACACAAATTACAGCGAAATTAAAACAACAAAAAAAATAAAGAAAAAGGTACTGATGAAAGCTAATGCCACTTTCGCGGGAAACACGATTGCATTTGCGCATGCAACAAGCCTTTTAAACCCATAGGTGACCCAAATGGGACGAGTGAAGTCTCGTAAGGGTTTCCAGAGACGCTACCCACAAACATCATGCATAATGATCATTAACATTTACATGTACCACCGGAGACTGAGTACATATCCACCCCTTGGGAGTCGGGGGTTTTTTGGTGGAGGCGTAATTCGAATCTATTTTCGATGAACGGCCTTGTTAAAAGGTAGCTTTGCAAGTGGCGTAATCGGCAGCGCGTGATTTGGTTGTTGTTATCGGGTGGTCCGACAGGCTCGACCTTGAACAATGTGCAAGCCCAATTGTCTTTGGTTTCATTTCTATCGGTAGCTACGGCCAGGACCAGTAGCCTGTTGGTCCACCCTTCTCAAGTAGTTGCCATTGTAGGAGCATTTGATATGCACATAATGCTTATCGGCGTAGTCCTCATTGTTTGGTGTTTCGGTGGTGAACTTTACGAACCGGCTGTCAGGATTGTCTTCAGAGAACTGGACAATCTCATTAATGTCGCTTTCTGCATCAAGTTGGTAGCGCAAGTATTTGTTGTTGGTCTCTGCTTTCAGCAGAAAGGGGCTTGGTAATACAGGTGGAGCCATGTTGTATGGTATAACAGGGATTGGGAAGATCTCTCTTCTGTCTTCTCTCTTGATGATTGAATTTGCTTGCTGTGAGTGTGATCCCTAGCTCTTTCAGTTTCTCATCTCTTTCATTTACATGAACATGGCTGATCTCATTCAAGTGACGCAAGATTTGGTAAAATAGCTGATTTCATCCATTTATTTGTATCATTTTCAAACGAATAGTTTCTAATCGTGAAGACGAGTGCTCATATTATAACAATAAATAAAAACTTAACCCGTGAGCATAATATTTTTTTTTTCCCTTCTCTGTTTGGGGTCATATACAAACAAATACATGCTTTCTACGCAGATGAAACTATATCAGTCTTTAATTTTGAGGGAGAGACTAATTTTGGTTGGTGCATTTGTAAAATGGCTAGTGTTTGGGCCCAAAATAATAGTTTGGGCCGAGGGTAGGATCACTCTCGGCCCGGGAGGCCGTGCGGCGAAAGGGCCATGGATCGTTCAGCTCATGGGCTTCCAAGCCTAGGTCGGTTAAATCAGAACGCAAGCCGAGTCCTAGTACAATAGGGACTCTCGACGGGATCAGTAATCCAGAAAGCGAATCCGGCTCAGTTAAGGACTAGATTCGTAGTCCTAGTGGAGATAGGATTGGTCGAGGTGATGTTGATCCAGAGAGGGAAACCTAGTCCGAATAGGATTGTAACTCGGGCTCGAGGACCAGCGCTATAAATAGGGGAAGCTGTGCATTAAGGAAGGCTCTCTGCAAATCAATACAAAATTGCCCTGCGCAAATTCTCACAACTTGTGATTTTTCTTTTTCCTTTTTCGCTGACACATCTTCCGTAGGCATCAACAGCACTGTGGAAGCAACCGGTGATATCTTAAGTCGGCATAGATAGCTCTGTCACCGTAGAGTCAGTCGGTCTCGCA